CGATTGCCAGATGACTGTTAATCGTTATCAAAAAAGACTGCAAATTATATGAATCAGGAAAGCAAGATGAAAGAAGCAAATTCTAAAGAACTGATGTTCAAGGAAAAAAACTAGACAAATAAGAGTTTTTTGAGCACTTAGGAACAGTAACAGAAAAAGGATGAGACTTAATTGAATGACGAGTAACACAAGAGTTAATTTTAGTAGATGGCACAAGAGGCCCTAGCTCTTTAGAGCAGTGCCCATTATAGTATTTGTAGAAAAGAGAAAGAGAAGCAACATTACAGCAATGTGATAATGGTTGAAGGTTGGCTGCAAGGGCTGGTCTAACTATGTTTACAATGCGTTTTTGTACCTTGTCTAAAAGAAAAATGGCAACAGTATTCCATACAAGGTCAGATTTGAGATTTATAGAGATAGAGAATAGAATCCAGAGTAAGAAAGTGTCGAGCTCGATAAAGAGATGCAACTTTAGCAGATGCTAAATTTGCATTGGATTTAATATATGGTTTCCAAGTAAAATCAAAAGTAAGAGTTAATCCTAGAAGATGAAGGGTAGATGACTCATCAAGTACATTACCGTTCATAATAATAGGAAGATTTAAATTATTGCGGTAACGATTGGCTGAAAAAAGTACTTTAAAAAATGGAATCCAAAGCAAATACTACTAGATGCGATCAACTATATTCAAATTTATCCAGGAGGGAAATCATCGAGCACTTTAGTTGCTCTAATACTGTCACAAAAAATTCTCAAAAGGATTTTCAGTAAATTACATAAGTAATAAGTATTTGTGAATGTAAAACTTTTAAACTTATTGAGAGTTTTGTATATCAGATATAAAGAAAAGTGGGAAAAAGTACATAAATTTAGTTCTAGATTTGAAAACCAGTATAAAAAATGGTTAGACAGTCCAGCTTTTCCAATTGCAAAATATGCCAATTTATTAAATAAGAAAAAAGCAGGACGTTTATCAAAAGATTTTTCTGAGTTGAGCAACAGAAGTAAATAACGAGTATCTGATGATGTAGTTGATTCTAAAACAGATTCAATTGAATGAGTTTTACTTGCAGCAAAAAGAACAGCATATAACAATCAAAATTATATCATGGTTAAGCTTCTTAAAAATGTTATAGAACATCAAACTGAAGCAATTCAAATATTACACAGATTAAATAACAATAGCATGTTGTCAGACGATAAAGTGTTTAGATATTTCATTGATTGTAATCACACAAAAAGTTCATATCACGATACACAAATGACAGCACCTGCTAGATTTCCAAGCTATAGGACTGTTAAAAAAGTGAAAGACATGCTGTCTACCAAAAGATTTGATAACTACAACAAAAAAGTTTATCAAAGTAGAATTAAAGGCTCTCATGAAGCCAAAACACAGACAAAAGATTAGTTGATTTGAATAAAGCAACTACTTTGAAGCATTTGGAAGAGAACAATAAAGGTTGTGAAGATTTAATATTATTGAGTTCATGGGGACTAGATGAAACTTCTGAAAGGAATAAATATCATCAGAGAATGGATTGCGTCGATGATAGTGATTCAGATTTAATAACAGTAGCGATAACGCCATTGCAGCCAACATTATACAGTCACAAAAAATTTAATGTAGTTAAATCTTACATCACATAGTATAAGATCTATCGACCTATCTACATAGAATTTACAATAGAAAATAATGAGAATATTCTTAAAATCAACTAAGATATAGAAAAAGAAATATCACTTTTGAACCTTATTAGAGTTGATTTGCCAAATGGCAATTTTATTTTTGTGGGTTTTTCATTTATCTTGAGTATGATGGCAAAGTTATGGCATCGCAGACACGTCATCTTTGCTATGCTGTCCTATTTGTGGAGCAACACCTAATGAAATGAGTGATATAAAAAACCAAAAAAAATTCAATCCAAAAAAACATGCTCTTTTACATCACCTTTACATTTGAATTTGATTTTTTGAATGCTTATTACATTTAACCAAGGGATATAAACTAATGTATGCTGAAGCAAAAAAACGTATACACCTTTTAATGTTAAGGCATTTGGAATTAAGAATCGACGAGCCAAGAGCAGAAGGATCTGGTACCAGTACTACAGGAAAAGTTGCAGAAGAGCCTTCAAAAATCCTAAAATTTTAAGTGAAATCCTGGAAATCAGCGAGGAACTCATAATAAGGTTTCGTACTATTTTAATAACCATTAATAGTAACCATACTATTCATCCTAAACAGTTCAGCAACTATTGCAAGGAAACATGTTCAATTTTCTTAAAAACTTTTGGAAGCTGATTTAAAATTCCTGCAACAGTCCATAAAATATTGGCACTCGGAGGAGAAATTTTTTTTAATTCTCCTGTTCCCACAAGGTCTTTGGGTGAATAAGCACTTGAGTGTCGCAACAAAATCACTAAAAAAGATCGGCTACAACATGCTTGCAAGTGCTCAAGAAAAGAAAATTTATTTGATTTATTTACTTGTGCAATGAACTCATCAGATCCAATTATAAGTACATTATCTTTAGTACAAAGTCTAAAAATAAAACTTTTATTCTTCCAAAAGAAGTTACAGACCTTTTAGTACTAGAAGAAGTAGACATTAATACAAGCAATGACAAAAATGATGATGACACATCAGATGATGTCAATGATATTGATCGATTTAATGAAAACTTTAATAAAGATGTAGAAATTGATGATGATTAGAATAAAAAATAACAATAAAGAAAAATCTTTTATTTGAAAATTTTAAATAACTTCGAAAACATTACTAAAAAAAAAAGTTTATTCAATGTTGTTTTTTCTTAAAAATTGCTAAGTTGACCTTTTAAAGTAACTTTGGGAGGACGGGGGCAGAAATAACTTGCTTCTTCCCCCATCGACCCTTAAATAATTTTTGATGTAGTATTTAAATTATATAGTTTTGTTTTGGTGTTTGAACCAAACCTCCTCCCACGGGGAAAAATCTTATTTGCTCTATTGCTTCAAAGTTAAATTTCTAGGAAACTATAGATTAAAATTATGTGAAATTTTAAATATACATTTACATTTTATTTAAATTGAAAAAAAAAATTTGAAAGATAATTTTAACCATCCTTTTGTATGTAATCGCCCTACTGTGCAGTACACACTTGCATTTCAGGAGTGTCCTATTTGCCCAGTTTTCATCCAAAGTATGCATGATAATATATCTTTGTCAAGTGTGATATGTTCTTCTTCTCAGCCACAGTGCAAAATCATTGACAAACATAGCAGAAACTGTTGAATTTGTACAATATCTAGGCAAGTTCAATTAAGGAATTAAAATCAATTAATTAATTAAAACTTGAAACACACCAATAATAGCATTAAAATATTTATTTAAATTTGTATTCATTTAAATATCCAACCACATAATTGGATAATCACATACAACATATTGATATGATCACATATCATGGTCTGTGGTTATATTGTACATTTGTACTAAAAATTGTTTTTTTTTATATTTTGTTTAACCCCTGACTACGGTTCTAGCAAAATATTTAAAATATTTTCATGATAGAAAATGACATAAACTTATGACATAAGCATAAACATTGTAATTAAACTTTTTTTTCAAAAAAACTTGGTGTGATACACACAAACTGAACTCATCAAATTTATCATTTTTAACAAACTTTCAGAAATTCATGTTTTACTTGTAATTCTTTTCATGTTAACTAGTTATTGATAGTTATTTTGTTATTGATAGCAAAAAAAAGTCTAAAAATATTGTATAAAATATCATTTTTAATTGAATTCATTTTGAGTTGCAGACAGTGCCGTGCCAGACAGTTGGTAGGCCCCCCCCAAAAAAAAAAACTTTTGGGCCCTTGTAACACGTCAAGCCCGTCCCCCGGTTAAGGAGGGGGTAATTTGAATAAAAGATTGCTTTTTAAATTAAAAATCGGCAGCTGTATCTTTGCGCTGCGTAGACTAATTTAGTAATACAAAGCATCTTTTTCATAAGATTTAACTTAAACTAAGCTAAACAAAACTTTCTAAACGAAAGTTTTACTAAAATAAAACGTCCACTAACTCAGCAATACAATCAATGGCAGATTCAGGTCACTGATTGGTCTCAATGGAGGATAGTCGGAACAACAAAAAAAAGGGCCCTATTTTTTAGGTTAAACAACTATTTCATTTGATCATTTATAATGTTTATATATTGGCAAATATATACAGTACAATCTCTCTAATTTGAACAAAAATAGGGAAAATAAAAAATCGAATTAGAGTGATTTTAGAATTACAGAAAGTTTTTTTCACATAAGGGTATTTCACGGTGACTTTGCATTTAATCGATTTATGGAGGTTTTCAAATTAAGGAGATTCGAATTAGAGAGATTATACGGTATATATATTAAATGTGTGTATAACTTTAAAACAGCATTTTTTTAATTTTCCTTTTTTTTTTTTAATTTTTATTAATAAAAATGTAAAGTTTGATAGTTCTTTGGGGGCTAATCCCCACCCCCTCCTTTGTATTCGCCAGTCAATACAATCATCATTGTATGCATGTCAATACATGCATCATTTTGTTAGGTTTACCGAATTTGAAAAAATAAGCAAACGTTAATACGAAGTTTTAATATTATAAATAAACAAAAAACACCTATATCATAATTTTAATTTTCAAAAAGGGCCCTTTCAAATTCCTAGGCCCCCCCCAACCGGGGGGTTTGGGGGGCTTTTGGCACGGCACTGGTTGCAGACTAAAGTCATCTAACTCATTTTTTGTAGACTAGTATTTAGTGCTTGCGTGAATGTCACACCATCCACACGCACCCTATTTCCGGCTATGTACTTAGTATATAGTTTATAGATAAAGTATATAATACTTTTATTATTATAGTTAAAGTATTATTGAATAGTGCTATATTCAATAATGAATATTGCAAAAAATTTCTTAATGAATTAATTGCAAAACTTTGATTTGAGTTAATTTTATTACTCTTTTTTAGATATGTTTGCAAATAGCGGTAAGAATTTTTTTTTTATAGATTTTTTTTTTCATTTTTATACTTTTAAAATATCACTTGTTAAAAATCATTATACACAAAGATGTATAAAGTTGCTAACTTGAAAAAGGGGACATGTTATTTTAATTTTTGCAGGACATGTCCCCTTTTTCAAATTAGCGATTCGTATAAAGTATGACAATGTTCAAATAAAAAAATGATTTTAACACAAGTTACAAAAGTTATTGAGCGTAAAATATTAATTCTAAACACTGTTTTTGAACATTTGTATATATTTGTATATATATCCATTCAGCAAGCATTTCTTTGTTAAAGCATTGGCTAAAACTTTTTTTGTGACCTGTATTTCTTGGCGTAGTTGGTGCAGGAAATGCAATCTTCTCAATAGTTTAGTTATTAATATCAACACAAGTTAGCCATGTTTTAATTATGTTATGTTTAAATATATCATTAATTAAAATCCAGCTGTCCAAATTAAATATAAAATAAAGGCAAGGATATTTGGCATATCTAGACTTTAATCCTTTAATAAATGATAAAATTTAACACATTCAAGTCATACGTAATAAACCAGCTATGAGAATATTAGGTAATAAGCTAATACTTTTACCAATACTATTCAAATAGAAGACAGATTCTTCTTAATGTTTGCATACACTATTGGTATTGTAGGAGAGTCATTATTTTTCTAAGTTAGGACAGCTTTAAGACTTGTTGTTGAAGAATCAATAAACAGGCACCAATCGCTATTATTACAAAAAGCAATTAGTTGCTACTTATGTGAAAGGCGTGTTATTGCAGAAAGCAATAATTCGACTAGGAAAAGAAAGAACTAATGTGTTTTCTGCGTTCATTGACTTGTCAAACTATCACTGCAGTATACTTAATATGTCTCTATTTTATAGCATCATTTCTTAGAAATTAATTTTATTCCCTGCAAAAATCCTTGAATGATTCCTTAGACCATTTGCTGTTTGATTCTTCTTAAACAAAATTATTTTCAATTGGGATTTTACAGCTGGCACAGTCAAATAAATTGCTTTTCATTTTAATAACAGTTTCTCAATTAAACAAAACAAAAAAAACACCATTTTCATGACTAATTTCAGTCTAATAGGTAAGAAAATAAAATGGCAATTATGTTACTCTGCTTTTTGCATCATTATTTTTGTTATAATGGTATAAATTCCTGCTGGACAAATAAAAAATAGCATAAATTGCTTTTCAACATCATAATCAGAATAACTGGCTTTGGAATACTTCCAATAGGCTTCCTGCTATGTCCCTGTGAAATTTCGCTTTAATCCACTAGCAAGAGATTGGGCACATACATAACAGAACTCATTGGGATCAATTTTATATCCCCATTTGTCGATTGTAATAAAGTTGAGAATTCAAATTCAAAAGTTATACACATGAAACTTTCAATCAAAATAAGAAGCTCACTAAAACACAGATAAAAAAATACATTTTATATGAGACAAAAAATTGTTACATATGCAAAAACATTCAAGTTTAAAAATAAGAGTTTCTTAAAAAATATATGATAAATATATTTTGAAATATTTTATATTTGCATTTTAGTTATTGTTATGTTTTTAAAAAATGTAAAATCTTCATTGGTGCAAAAAACTTTCTTATTTGTTTCTTGTAGAAAAAATAAAGATAACTTTCATAGAGCTTTATAAAAACTTATTAAAGCAACCTTGCTTGGTTACAAGGTAAAGTTTAGAAAACAATATGTAAGCGTTGAGAAATCAGGATTTTATTTGGAATAAAATCATAAATAAATTGATAGACAAGAGAATCATGTCAGCTTTACGTGAAAAAAAAATCAGGTCAACTTTACGTAAAAAAAAAATCAGGTCAGCTTTACGTGAAAAAAAATTCAACAATTTTGCTTAAGTTTTTGTTTACGTAAAGCTGAGCAATTACTGAGTAAATTGTTTAACTTTACGTGAATAAAAATTTGAGCAAAATTGCTGAAGTTTTTATTCACATAAAGCTGACCAATTACTGAGTAAAAACAATTGCTCAATTTTATTCACCCAGCCTGTTAGGTCGACAAATTTTAAAGCCTATTTACACTGAAAGTTTTTGTTTTTATCGGTGACTGAAATTATTATTTTCTATTTTATAAGACCGATTTTCACTAAATTTTTTTTTAGTTTTGAGATATAAATTTTTTGTTGCTAACAAGTAAAAATTATTAAATGGTCTCCTCCTTCCTCCTTGTTTTAAGAACTCAAGAGTACATGTGTTTCTTTTGCCTCTGGAACAGTGTGATTACAAGGCTCACAACAAAGTTAATGAATGGAATTTGGGAAAATTAGTTGCAGAGTGTCGATTGAGAACTTTTTAACGGTCACACTTGAAAAGAAAAATGGTTTTAATTTCAAGTAGCTGTAATTTTATATATATATATATACTTTTGGGTGCTTAATACAAGGGGGAGGAGGGGGAGAGTCTTAATTAAAGGGTGGGTGAGAATTTTTTACAGTTTATTATAGTGTGGCTTGCGGTCAATCTTTCTTTTTTTGGCTTGCGGCCGCATCTTTGTTTATATTTTTTTAATTTTTGTTTATAGTTTTATGATGTTATATTTTGTTGAAAAAAGCAAAAATTATTAAACGAGAGGGGGGGGGTAAATAAAAGGATTCCTTGTAAGCTTAGGGTGGGTATGAAAATTTTTTGAAATTTAATAAACGTCCCCTCCTGTGTCGCAAAACAGACAAAAAGGTTGAACTAAAAGCGTGTTAACAAAAAATGTTTGTAATAAAAAATAGTCATCTTCAGTTTAATAAATCCAAATCAATATCACTCACATTTCTCCACTTAAGTTTGATGACACTTCTTTCTGCTGGGCATTAAGATTATTATCAATTTTTACAGCTAGTGATATCTTACCAGATTGCTTCTGGTGCTATATTTAGTGGACTACAGATAACCGTCAAAAGTGAAATGGTCAAGCTTTAAATGTCAGGGAAAATCAATTTATTTTTGAAAGATCTCATTAAATAGCTCATTTTTGTTCTAATTGCTTTTTTCCTTTTTTTTTTCTTCCATTAAAAAAGTTTTAATTTAGAAAAAAATTATAAAATATTTTTTAAATTAGAGCGTGCCTGCTTTTAAAATTGATCATATTCTCCCCCTCCCATTACTTTATTAAACGTTTTTTGGAGATCTTTTCTTCCCCTAATCCCCCTTAATTACTTACCGGATTGGCACCAAATTCTTTAATGTCTTCAAGTATAAATATATATATATGTGTGTGTATATATATATACATATATATATATATATATATATATATATATATATATATATATATATATATATATATATATATATATATATATATATATATATATACACTGGCGTAGGAACAGGGGGATTGAGGGGCGATAGCACCCCCAACAGTTTTATAAAACTTTTATGATAGCAACGGCAAAAATATATTTTTCTAGTCTGTAATGACTCAATTACAATTAAACATCACCATGGAAAAGTATATCCATAAAACTGTTTAAGATACTATCGCATATTAACTATTTTTTAAATGAATGTGTGCTGGTAAAAGATTACTAATCACGTTAAAAAGATGATTAATCGTGTTGCGTGTGATAAATAATTGAATAAATACATCATTTTCATCTATTTTGCTGTATCATACAAAATTGAGGAACTTTTTGCTTTTTAATATATGTTTTCACCCCCCCACACACACACACACAACCCCCCTCCCTAACTTTCGCGATCTTCTACGCCACTGTATATGTATATATTTCAAAACACGGTATGTGTAATTTTGATTTAATGTGCCGCTTCAAATATTTATTTTTAAAAAAATATGTATGTATATATAGCGCATGAAAGTGTACTTTATTAATATTTTTTATAATAGAAAATAATATTAATCATTAAATATTATAATTAATATTATTTATAATTTATAACTTTTTTATACTCTTTTTTTAAATATTTAATTGTTGTTATTAGTTATGTGTATTGTATGTATTTTTAAAATTGATCATACCCTTTATTATGTGTTATATTTAGCACATAAAAACAAAATTATACTGCTCATACTGCGTTTTGAAAATAAGCTTTTCTTAAATATATATATATATATATATATATATATATATATATATATATATATATATATATATATATATACATATATATATATATATATATATATATATATATATATATATATACATATATATATATATATATATATATATATATATATATATATATATATATATATATATATATATATATATATATATATATATATATTTAAGAAAAGCTTATTTTCAAAACGCAGTATGAGCAGTATAATTTTTCAATGCAGAATCGCTCATATTTAACTCTCGGCGGCCAAAGAAACTTACAGATGCAGCTGTAAATTAACTTTATTAAAATAAATATTTGTGAGTTGTATATATATATATATATATATATATATATATATATATATATATATATATACAACTCACAAATATTTATTTTAATAAAGTTAATTTACAGCTGCATCTGTAAGTTTCTTTGGCCGCCGAGAGTTAAATATGAGCGATTCTGCATTGATGGCCTCTGTGATCAAATAATAAGTCCGTAAAAAATGAGTCTTAAGCGTATTGAGTAATATTTAGTCTAAATTTAGTCTAAAACCTATTTTTGCGGACTCTTGACGTTCGCATTACTCAGGGACAGTGTATAAGGGGTGGCATGTGTGTGCATAGAGGAACACTATATCTCCCTTTCTCAACTCTAATAGTGGTTGCTTGCAGCTTTGTTGGAAGTGAAGATGTTTAAAAAAAAATTACTTGTTAATAGTGATAAATCAGAAAAACAAACATTACCAAGGAATTTTTTAAATAGTGCTTACGTCCCTTAGCAAACTTTAAAATTTTCACCCTAATAAAAAAAAAAGTTTTTTTCAAAAATATCAACTTCAAAACTCCCAAAACTAGAATTAAGTTTTACTAAAC